CGCCCCGGGGCCCGGATTCCGGCGTCCGGGGGCGGACGGGAGACGCCCGGCCCGTCTACCCGCCCGGGGCCGCGTCTGCTCCGACGGGCGGGGCAGCCAAAGTCAGGGAGGGAGGCAGGGAGGCAGCCCTCCCGGGCTGGGGACCGGGCCCGGCGCCCCACCCTCCGGCCTCCTCCCTCAGCTCCGGGGGTGCCGACCCCAGCCTCCTCCCTCAGCCCTGGGGGTGCCGACCCCAGCCTCCTCCCTCAGACCCGTGGGTGCAGGCACTCAGCCTCTCCCTCAGCCCCGGGGATGCCGACCCCAGCCTCCTTCCTGACCTCAGGGTTCGGGGGCCCCAGCCTTTCCCCTCAGACCCAGGTTCCAGCCTGAGCTCTCTGTTCTTCTGTCCCCAGGTGTTTGCCGCCTGGTCCTGGTGGTGATGACCCTCTGGCCAGACGGAGTGGTGGGCCCTGGGCCACCTTCTGGCTCTGCTCGAGCCCCGACCGACCCCAGGGCCGAGGTGGACAGCGCGGTCCTCCTAACGCGCTCGCTCCTGGCCGACACCCGGCAGCTGGCTGCACTACTGGTAGGAGCCGGAGATGGGAGGAGGCGGGAGAGATAGAGGAGATGGTGGAGGCCGGCTGGCAGAGGGTGGAGAGCAGAGGCTCTCGGAGATCTGTACACCAGCCACCTGGACAGCTCTACCCAGGGTGGCAGAGCCAGAAGAGGGGTCTGGGGGAGGGAAGGGAGTCTCCTCACAGCTTCTTTCTCCCCAGAGAGACAAGTTCCCAGCTGACGGAGACCACAGTCTGGATTCTTTGCCCACCTTGGCCATGAGCGCAGGAGCCCTGGGAGCCCTGCAGGTAGCAGATAGGGAGGGCTGGGGCCACACAGGGTGGGGTGTGGGGAGGGCCGGGGAACAGACCAGGTGCTCCCTAATGCCCAATGGTGGGCCTCAGTTGCCAGGGGTGCTGACAAGGCTTCGCGTGGACCTGCTGTCCTACCTGCGGCACGTGCAGTGGCTACGCCGGGCAGGTGGCCCTTCCCTGAGGACCTTGGAGCCCGAGCTGGGTGCCTTGCAGGCACGGCTAGACCTGCTCCTGCGGCGGCTGCAGCTCTTGGTATGGCCTGGCTCTGAATCTTTACACCCCCACAGCTAGGGCCTGAGGTTGAGCTCTCACACCCAGGGTCCTAGTCCAGTTCTGGAAGCCAGACCCCAGACCTGAGCTGTGAGCCTGACACACCCAGGGTCCTGAGGCCCCTCAGTCCCAGAATGCTGGCCAGATACTCCACATGTTCCCGGAGATCCTGTGACCTCACCATCAGAGGAGACAGTCTCCAGAATCCCAGCCCCCAAGCCCCTAGACCCCAAGATTCCTCCCTGAACTGACAGTTTCATTCCTGAGATCATGACCCAAAGCTCCAGCTCACCCCTCCCCCCCCCACAAACCTGAGGCTCTGAGACACAAACCAGCACCAACCTGCAGTCCCAAGACCCCAGATCCTGCCCTGAGGTCCCCACATCTCACAGCCACAGCCCCAAGAATCAAGACCTGACCCTGCTAGGTCTCAAGAACCTGATGGCTTCAAACCATCAACCCCAGAAACAAGTCTCTAGGACCTACTGTCTCCTTTTCAAGGAAATAAACCCTGAAACAAGAGGTCTGATTAGAAGCCCTGCAGAACCCAACACCCTGACTTCCAAAATTCCAGACCCAAGGCCCTGAGACCCAAAGACTTCAGACTTGGATTCCTGACCTGACTTCAAAGACCTCAGACCTCAAGTTCCAGTTCCAAGCTCCAAACCCATGAATCCCTGGTCTTGGTCCCAGAAACGTTAGCTACATCTAAGACTTTAACCCTGGGATCCTGAGCCTGACCCTAGACTTGTGCCCACAGGCCCAAGACATTGTACCTAGACACACCTAGCTCTACAATTCCAGCCCCAACCACCCAAGCCCCAAAACATGACCCTAGAAGCCAGGCCTTCAGATGACAAACCTTTGGAATGCAGCTTCAATGTGTGTATGTGTGTGTGTATATATGTGTATGTGTGTATGTACTGAGGCTCATCCTGGGCACTGTCCCTGAGCTTTTTTTTTTTTTTTTCTCAAGGCTAGTGCTTTACCACTTGAGACACAGCTCTACTTGTGGTTTTTTTGGTGGTTAAGTGGACTCTCATGTTGGGGCTGGCTTTGAACCATGATTCTCAGATGTCAGCCTCCTGAGTAGCTAGGATTACTGGCATGAGCCACTGACACCAGACACTCCCCTTTGATTTTTTTTTTTTCTTTTTGTCAGTCATGGCTCTGGCCTGGGCGCTGTCCCTCAGCTCTTCAGCTCAAGATGAGCGCTCTACCACTTGAGCCACAGCGCCACTTCCGGTTTTCTGGTGGTGGTTCAATGGAGATAAGAGTCTCAGGGGCTTTCCTGCCCAGGCTGGCTTTGAACTGCGATCTTCAGATCTCAGCCTCCTGAGTAGCTGGGATCACAGGCCTGAGCCTCTGGCACCTGGCTTCTGCTTCAATTTCTGAAGCCAAGTTCCCGAAGAGAGATTGCAGCTAGGCAGCCTGGCAGCCCCCAGAACCCTGTCCCCACTCCTTTGCTCTTCCCTGCCTTTCTTTTTTTTTTGGGTGGGGGTCCGGTCATGGGGCCTGAACTCTGGGCCTGGGCGCTGTCCCTCAGCTCTTCAGCTCAAGGATAGTGCTCTACCCCTTGAGCCATAGCGCCACTTCGGCTTTTTTCTTTTTGCTTATGTGGTGCTGGGGAATTGAACCCAGGGCCTCAGTCATGCAAGGCAAGCACTCTACCACTGAGCCACCTTCCCAGACCTCTTCCCTGCCTTTCACTAACCTGTTTCCCTCCTAACAGGTATCCCACTTGGCCTTGCCCCAGGCATCCCTGGACCAGCCGCCTGTGCCCCTGGGTCCCCCCACCTCGCCATGGGGGAGCATCAGGGCAGCCCACGCCATCCTTGGAGGGCTGCATCTCACTCTGGACTGGGCTGTACGTGGCCTGCTGCTGCTGAAGACCCGGCTGTGACCTGGCCCAAGGCCACAACTGCCCTGCGATGCCAGATCTTATTTATTTATTTATTTCAGCACTGGGGGTGTGGCAGTCAGGGCGTACTGCTCCCCCTCCACCATGCCCCCCACCTAGTTAGATACACAGTCCCTCCAGGAGACCTGGGCAAGGGGACACCTGTGCCTTATTTATACTTATTTATTTACAGGGTGGGAAGGGCAGGCAGCCTCCTGGGGGGGGGGGCGGAGAAACCAGGGTCCTGGATTCTTGGATCTTTCCATAGAGGCTTCCTGGCTCCTTTCTCTCTGGGCCTGGGCAGGCTCATTTATTATTTATTAAACAATTACTTTTTATATTAGGAATGGGAGGGAGGGGACAAGAAAGCCTGGGTTTTTGTACAAAAAAAAAGAAAAAAGAAAGAAAAAAGAGTGTGAGACCTTTGTGAGACAGAGGAAAGGGATGATTTGTTCTGCGTCATCCACTCAGGCGTGATTTCACCAAAGGCGGTAGGGCCCGGGACCTGGGGTTTGGTGCTTAGTGGGCAAAGAGGGAGAGGCGCATGGCTGGTGGCTCAGAGTGAGGTCTTGGCCTCACTCGGTGCCCCGCACATCATAGGCCCTTGATAAATATTTCATGGAAGGTTCCAGAAGGTCATCCCATGCCTGGCAGCTTTGTAGCTCTAGGTGGTTCATTTTGACAGTGTCCAGCATGGTAAATCGGAAAGACGTTCACACATATCCATGGGGGAGGGGGGGAATGGCAGTGATCTATGGCAAGACAAGGCCCCTAGTGGGGCCTGCGCAGCTCCTAGACAGGGAAGCTCCAGAGAGACCAAAGATACCCTCCTTCCCCGTCTTCCGTGTGGTCCTGGGCTTGTTTTCTCACCCTGTGGGTGTTTTTTTTGCACACACAGGGGAATGTTGCCAGTGACTGGCTCAGGGAGGGATTGTGTTGGACTTTGATTGTTTGTGCTTCTCTGTATTTGTTCAGAATTTCTACCATGACTGTATTTCGTGCAACACATTTAAAAATAATAAACACTATTTTTAGGATGTCCAAAAATCAGCCTATCCCCTTTTATTTTGTCAGTCATGGGGCTTGAACTCTGGGCCTGGGCACTGTCCCTAAGCTCTTCAGCTCAAGGCAAGCGCTCTACTTGAGCCACAGCACCACTTCCTCAGCCTCCCATTTCCAATGGTTTTTAAAACGCCTCACAGGGCCAACCCCCCCCCCCATTATTGGAACCCTTGCTCAGGGCAGTGCCAATTTCCCTGAATCCTCAAATACTGTTTCACAGTTGAGGCTCAGATGGGAGAGAGGGACCCCCGAGGCTCTGCTCCACTCGCACTCACCCCAAAGGTACTGTCCCTCTGTTTTGTACTTGGAATGGGGTGCTGGGGATGGGACCTGGGGCTGGTGCACACCCGGTGAGCGGCCAGCTCTTGGTTTTCTCAAGCTAACCTGGGACTCACAGCTCTTTTGCCTCTGCCTCTGATGTGCTGGGATTACAGGCACGAATCCATCAGGCCTGGCCTATGGTGTCCATTTCTGTATGGTTCAGTGTTCAAGCTCCATTTCCATGGGGAAACTAAGGCTTGGCAGGAGTTTAAGTTTTATCCTGAGTCTACAGCACGGCCCAGCCGAAGAGATGCCACTGAATCAAACCCTTGGTCACTGATCCAGTTCCAGTAACCCAGACAGAGCCCCCAGGGGGCCCTGTGTTGCCAGGAGTTCAAGTGAGGCACCCACTCTGGGCCTGAGTTCTGACTCTCACAGCCCCCAAGACTATAGGCCTTGTCCTCCGAGAATGAAGCCCCAGGAGAGTTCCCAGGAAAGGTCCCCAGGGTGTCCCGTGAGGTCACAAAGCCCCCACCAAAGGCTCCTCCCACAGCCCAGTGCTGCCCCCTGCAGAGCCATGGCCACAGCTGGCTGAGCCTCCCTTCCCGGGACAGCGCCACTCTGAGTGCTGAGCTCCGTGTGGTACCTGTGAGGCTCCAGGGGCCAAGGCCGGAGGGTGGGATAGGGTGGGAGGGGAGGGGGAGAGAGCAGGGGGAGAATGCAGGGCACGCCCGGGGCCTAGGGCCCTGAATCCCCCACTCCTGCAGCCATCATGAAGCGCCTGTGGAGCAGCCGGCGTGCACGACCCTCCCAGCCGCACCTGAAGTGGGTCCCCATCCTGGGGGAGCTGCAGAAGACGCTGCAGAGGGGAGAGTACTTGCCCCTCCGCCCACTGCCCATGTTCGAGAGTAACTTTGTCCAGGTCCCCGCGCCCTGTGCCCTGGGGGCTGGGGGGAAGGCAAGGGTCTGTGTGGGGGGGGAGAAGGAGGAGGGAGGGAGGACCTGGAAAGGTAGGCTGGGGAGGGGGCTTGAGGCATGCTGGAAGAAGGATCGGTCCCAGCCCCACTCCCCGGCCACCCAGGTGACAAGCAGTGGGGGCCCCGTGTTCGTGCACCACAGAGCCAACAGACTGACTATGGGCGTGGCGGCCTCCCTGCCCGGCCTGGTGCTCCCTGACACCCTGCTCATTGCCCGGCCCCCGGAGGGCCGGGACCGCTCCAGCCTGCTGCTGTCCAGGTGCCTCCCCGCCCCCCCCAGCCCTCTGCCCCCAGCCCCCCTTCCCCCTAGCTCCAGCTGGCTGACTCCCACCTCCCAGGATGATCCCACTGGACCTCGTCCACCTCTACGTCCACAACATGCACAGCTGGCGCCTGAAGCTGCGCCTGGCCACTGGCCGCTACTACTACCTGGAGCTGGACGCCCCAGACCACGAGCTGGGCTTCCTGTTTGACCGCTGGATCTACCTCATCAACCTGCTCCGGGAGCCAGCCACCACCTGGGCCCCCAGGACCTTGCACCTCCCGCCCCCGGGCCAGCCCTTGGATGCAGCCCCTGCTTCCACCTGGCGCCTCCAGGTTCGACCCCAACCCAATGGCTCTCTGGGGTGGTGGCTCTCCAGATTCTGCAGGGGAAGGAACTGGGACCCCAGACTGTTGGGCCTGGGGGGCGGGGAGGGGCTGAGGAAGGAGGGATAGGGTCAGTGCCAACTTGGCCAGGGCCTGACTGCGCCCTCCTTGTCCACAGGTGCAATGCCCACGGGACTCCACAGGTGAGAAAACTCTGGCCTCCGCTTGGCGTGGCCACCATCCTCTGTACTCCAGCTACCCTGAGTGGGGGGACAGGACCTCAGCATCTGGGCCCTGAGCCCCCCACCCTGTGTCCACTCACGTCTCTCCACCTCTTTTCCCAGAGGAGGTGTGTGTGCCCACCTTTCCTTACAAGACGCCAGCTGCTCAGAATCAAAAGGCCAAGGTGGGCAGCCTAGTGGGCCTTGGGGTGGGGTGGGGCCAAGGTAGGCCAGCCAGCCAGGCCCAGAGGGTGGGGCCTGGGCTGCCCCTCTTCTGACCACCCCCTCCCTCTCCCCATCCCACCCTCAAGCGCACTTTCAAGTCCCAGGCTGTGGGGGGTTCGATGCCAACCATGTGGCCAAGGCTGGAGCGTGCTGATATTAAGAAGAAAGACCTGAGAAAGCAGTGAGCAGGGGGCTTCTGCCCATGGCACAGGGAGGGGCGAGGGCTCCAGGCAGGTGCTGCCCATGTCCCTCGGCAACCTTGCTCCACAGGTCACACCCAGAGGCCAGATCAGACAGGAATATCACCCAGATCCAACTTCCAGGTAAGAAACTCTCTTCCTCTGCTCCTATGGACCTTTGGCAGCTCTGAGCCTCTCCTAAGAGGACTAAGGCTGATATCTCTCCACACAGACAAGACCAGCATCACCATCCGCACCATCTTCAGCATCATCTCCAATACCATCAATCAGTCACACTCGTCCTCCAAGGCCAGTTACACAGGCACCTGGAGGGCTGGGGGAGGGTGCTCTCTGGGGTCCTGGGGAGCCTAGAGGACTGAGGTCTGAACCCCTGGGTCTGAGAGTGGAGGCTGGGTCTGGACCCCTGGGTCTGAGAGAAGAGGCTGGGTCTGGACCCCTGGGTCTGAGGGAGGAGACTGGGGTCCAGATCCCTTGGGTCTAGGAAGAGCTTGGCCTGGACCCCTGAGATGAAGGGTGTGATGGGGGGAGGCTGAACCCCCGAAATGGAGAGTAATGGGAGGAAGGGTGGACCCCTGAGATGGGGTGTGTGATGGGGGGGAGGCTGGACTCCTGAGATGAAGGGTGTGATGGGGGGAGGCTGGACCCCTGAGATGGGTGTGTGTGATGGGGGAAGGCTGGATGGACCCCTGAGATGGGGGTGTGATGGGGGAAGGAAGGCTAGACCCCTGAGATATGGGGGTATGAGAGGGCAGTGGGACTGATGGTGCCCCCACCCTCCACAGGCTTGCATGTCTGACTCGGAGGGAGCCCTGGGCCCGCGGGGCTTGATTGAGACCCCAGTGCACTGCATCTCCAGCAACAGGCCCGAGCTCCCCTTCCTGGACTCCTGTGACCACCTGGACATGCTTCTCTGGCACCAGGACCTGGATGAGCTCATGGACCCTGAGTCCAGCACTGTGACATCCTCCTCCCTGGGCCCTTACCTGGGCTCTCCTGCCCTCCACCTCTTCCCACCCCACCCCTCTGCCCTCAGGTCTGGCAAAAAGGCTACGCCTAAAGTCTCTCAGCCCCAGGGACCCCTGCCCACCAAGAAGGCTCCCTCAGCCCCTAGGGCTCCCTTCACCAAGGAGCAGCTTGGGAGGGGGGCGGCTGCCTCCCCTCACACACCATTCCAGAAGGCCCCAGCTGTATCTGGGCTCCCTCATAAGGCCCCCCCTGGATTAGCTGTTCCCCCAAAAACCCCAGCCCTCCAAAACTCCTCTTTGAAGGTCCCTGTTGTCCCTGCTCTGCCCCAGAAGGCCCTGCCCAGGCCCCAGAAGGGGCCACAGGCCCCTGCTGTGACCCGGAAACCCCTGGCACCCCCTGCCCCCAGGAAGGAACCTGTGGTCCCGCCCACCCCTTGGGCCTCACCACCACCACCGGATCCGGCCGGGGCAGATGCCATCATCTCCGAAGAACACAAGCTGGAGGGGGCCCCATCTAGAGGAAAACTTGAACAAGTGGTGTTTTGGGGTGCCCAGGGAACGCAAGTGGTGGAGTTGAGGACCACGACCAGGTCCCTGGAGCTGCCCCACGCCACAGCCAAGAAGGAGTCCAAGGAGCTCCTCATTAGCCGCACGAGAGAGCTGGCCCTGGAGGCCCTCGAGGGCAGGGAGAAGCTGGAGAACGCGGTGCACAAGGTGAAGGAGGAGGTGGTGCTGGACCTGCCCAACCTGAGGTCCAAGGAGGTGGAGCAGAGGCAGCGGTGGGTGCAGACCCAGGAGGTGGTGCTCAGGGGTCCCCTGAAGGAGCACAACAGGCCCTTCTCCATGGAGGGGATCGCCCTCGCCAAGCTGATCATCGCAGCCAGCTCCAGAGAGGAGCACCCGAAGCCCGCCCACGTCACACTGTCCTCCTGGCTCTCCAAGGACACCCCGACCTTCCCTATGCCTGCGGCTGATCTGCCCCTCTGCCCCAGCCAGCTGTCTCTGCTGAAGATGCCAGCGAAGGCTGAGGACCAGTCCCCCACTGGGGAGGAGGACACCCCGCAGTGGATGGACACCCAGCCACTCAGGGACCCCGTGGGGCCTTCCACAGGGCCCACCAGCAACCTGCCTGTATCTGACAACACGCAGATAGTCCGGTCCTCCCAGTGGGAGGACCTGCCACAAGAACCCTCCACCTCCAGGGTTGGGGCATTGGCTGGGACAACCCCAGAGGAGAAGACACTGGAGGAGCCAGGCCTGGCTCAGCCTTCAGCCAGGTACTTGGGGCTTAGCAGCCAATGTTTAGGTCCAATTCCATTATTCATATTCTCTCTCTCTTTCTGTCCTTTTTGGGGGTCTGCTGGTGATTAACCCCAGGGCCTCAGACATGCTAAGCACACTCCCTCCCTAACACTCGCTACTCAAACATAATAAGCACACCCTCTAACACTCACTACTCAACATGTTAAGCACACCCTTTTACACTCACTGCTGAACTCCTAGTTCATGTCAGTGCACAGCAAGTGTGACTGACTGGCCAGGCACTGTTCTAGGCAGTAGAGCTACGGCCTCCACCAGTAATGGTATTAGCAGGGAGGCTTGCTGCCAGTGCCCAGTGGATAAGAGAATGGGCATGCTGCTAAACAGCTTACAATGCATGGTGCCAATTACCTAGTGGAGGTTGGGTCATTTGTGTTAAGATCTGAAAGAGAGCCGGGCGCTGGTGGCTCACGCCTGTAATCCTAGCTACGCAGAAGGCTGAGATCTGAGGATCACGGTTCAAAGCCAGCCCGGGCAGGAGAGACCGTGAGACTCCTATCTCCAATAAACCACCAGAAAACCGGAAGTGGCGCTGTAGCTCAAGTGGTAGAGCGCTCGCCTTGAGTTGAAGAGCTGAGGGACAGCGCCCAGGCCCAGAGTTCAAGCCCCACGACTGACCAAAAAAAAAAAAAAAAAAGATCTGAAAGAGAACTGGACAGCGATGGCTCATGCCTGTAATCCCAGCTACTCAGGAGGCTGAGATCTGAGGATCTAGTTTCAAAGCTAGCCTAAGCAGGAAAGTCTGAGATTCTTATCTCCAATTAACCAGTAAAAAAACCAGAAGTGGAGCTGGGGCTCAAGAGGTAGATGAGAGTCTGAGAATGTGGCTCAGTGGTAGTTTGCCTTACATACATGAGGCCCTGGGTTTGATTCCTCGCACCACATAAGCAGAAAAAGCCAGAGGGCTGGGAAGTTGGCTCAGTGGTAGAGCGCTTGCCTTGCATGCCTGAAGCCCTGGGTTTGATTCCTCAGCACCACATAAGCAAAAAGAAAAAACCCGGAAGTGGCGCTGTGACTCAAGTGGTAGAGCGCTAGCCTTGAGCTGAAGAGCTGAAGGACAGTGCCTAGGCCCAGAGTTCAGGCCCCACGACTGGACCCAAAAAAAAAAAAAAGAAAAAGCCAGAAGTGGCGGCGCTGTGGCTCAAATGGTAGAGCGCGAGCCTTGAGCTGAAGAGCTGAGGGACAGCGCCTAGGCCCTGAGTTCAAGCCCCAGGACTGGCACAACAAAGAATGCCAACCTTGAGCAAAAGAACTAAGGGACAGTGCCCAGAATCTGAGTTCAAACCCTAGTACTGGTGCATGCACACAGACACACAAGACAAGGACAGAGACACTCACGAAGGGGATGAAGTGGATGGGTGGTTTTCAGGAACCAGAGATGGAAAAATAAAGGATGAATGCTAGCATATTGGTCCTTTCTCTTCAGGGTGTTGAGAATGTTCTAGAGCTAGATAGGGGTGCGGGTAGTACGAGGCTGGGAGTGTGATTTTGGGGCGCCCATCTCCCCGTGGGTCGACCCCCCACAGCTGCTCGCTTCTCTCCCTGCAGCAAGCAGCTCCATCCAACACTTTAAGCAGCAGGTTGCCACTGCCCTCAGTCAGCAAACTGTCCGGAGGGGCCCAGCGGGGCCGGGTACCCCAAGGACCCCGAGACCGGCCTTAGACCTAGCAATGACCCCGGCACCGGCGGAGAGCTCGTAACCAGGACGGCGCCACCCACTCCCCCTTCCTCCACAGGCCCCAGGGTGCTGGGCACCCTGCTGTAAGAAGCAAGAGTACCAAGAGGCTGGACGGGGGTACTCCCTCTCGGGCAGAGGCCAGAGCTGTCTATACGTTTATACATGGGGGTGGGGGAACGGGGAGAGCCCGAGGCGATTAAACGCCTGAGACTCAGTCCGAGTTGCGCCTCTGTAAGAGAGAGAGAGAGAGAGAGAGAGAGAGAGAGAGAGAGGAGAGAGAGAGAGAGAGAGAGAGAGAGAGAGGGGAGAGAGAGAGGGGAGAGAGAGAGAGAGTGTGTGTGTGTGTGTGTGTGTGTGTGTATCCCGCAGGGGGTCCTGCAGCCCGGGAGGGAGGGGCCTTAACAGGACCCCGCCCTGCAAGTCCACCCCGCGGTTCTCATTGGCCAGAGCTCCTGAGCTCCCGGCCAATCCGACCCGAGGGTCGTAGTGGGAGGCCCTGCCCCCACTCGGATGCCAGGGGCCACTGCTGCCACCACAGGCCCAGCTGACCCGTGACTGGTGGACGACATTCTGGTAAGGGCAGGACAGGTGGGGTTTCTGGTGGGCTCAGGAGCGAGGGGCACCCCTTAGGTCCCACGGAGCCCCCCATTCCGTCCTGCAGGACCCTCATCTGTGGATGTTAGATGTGGCAGCCCAGATGCCCCACACGGAGAAATGGACGCCACCCTTTGACCCGCGCTTCCCTAACCAGAACCAGACCCGTAACTGCTACCAGAACTTCCTGGGTGAGACCCGGGGAGCCGGGTTTGAGGGGAGCAGGGCCGAGGGTCGAGGGGAGGCAGGAAGGGGAAGCCCACCTGAAGAGTCGCGGGACCGTTGGGGTGGAGAGCAGGCGCGGCCGCAGTCTGGGGGCGGGGCTCGGGGAAAAAAATCGGAGCAGCCGGGGAGGGGCGGGGCCAGGAGAAGCCGGGCCTGAACTGGACAGCCTGGATGGAAGGATGTGGGACGTGGCCTGTTGATAGGGCGTGGCTTAAACCCTGACCCCGCCCCCATGCTCATCCGCAGACTACCACCGCTGCATAAAGAACATGAGCCGTCGGGGAAAGGACTTGCGGCCCTGCGAGTACTACTTGCGTGTGTACCGCTCGCTGTGCCCCAGCAGCTGGGTGAGCCCGAAGAGGGGCACCGGATGGAGAAGGTGGAGGGCTGGGGCTGAGCCTGAGCTTGTGCCCTGCTTCCTGCTTCCTCAGGTGCAGCGCTGGACTGAGCAGATCAAGGAGGGGACCTTCCCAGGCAAAATCTGAGCGGGCAGCATCGACCTCAGTGAGCCCAGTTTGTCCCAGAGCCCCCGGGTGACCTCGGCTTTGCAGTCTCTAATCCGGAAATAAAGTAGTGTTGCTGCTAGTGCTTCTTTTGCTACTCTCTTCCCCTTACTGGACACTGGACATGCTGTCTTTCCACGAACTTTACTGCCCTGGCTGGCTTTGAAACGTGATCCTCAGATCTCAGCCTCCTTAGTAGCTAGGTTTACAGGCGTGAGCCACCGGCACCTGGAACCCTTTTTTTTTCTTCTTCCAGTCTTGGGGCTTGAACTCAGGGCCTGGGCACTGTCCCTGAACTAATTTTGCTCAAAGCTATCACTTGAGTCACAGCAACCCTTCAGGCATTTTTTGTATAGGTGGTAGAGCAGTCGAACCCAGTGCTTCATGTATGATAGGCAAGCACTCTACTACTAGCCACACTCCCAGCCCCGCCCTTCCTTTTTTTTGTCGGCCGTGGGGCTTGAACTCTGGGCCTGGGCACTGTCCCTGGGCTCTTCAGCTCAAGGTGAGTGCTCTACCGCTTGAGCCACAGTGCCACTTCCGGTTTTCTGGTGGTGTATTAGAGATAAGGCTCACAGAGTTCCCTGCCTGGGCTGGCTTTGAACCACGATCCTCAGATCTCGGCTTCCTGAGCATCTAGGATTACAGGCTTGAGTCACTGGTGCCTGGCTCCACCCTTCTGTTTTTAATACTAGGTTCACTACCCTTTGCTTGGCAGGCCTCTTGACAAGCAATCCAAAGTTTGCCTTCCAGTCAGGACAAAAGGTGAACACCACCATGCTTGACTAACTGCTAAGGTGGTCTTTTTTTTTGGTCAGTCAGGGCCTGGCACCTTCCCTCAGCTCTTGGCTTAGTGCAAGCACTCTACCACTTGAACCACAGCACCACTTCTGGTTTTCTGGTTGTTAATTTGAGATGAGTCTCCTGGCCTTTCCTGCTTGGGCTGGCTTTGATCCAGGATCCTCATATCTCAGCCTCCTGAGTAGCTAGGATTATAGAGATAAGCCACCTGTGCCCGGCTTTGCCATGTTCTAATGCCTAGCCAGTAATTCATGGGGGTGGAAGTGGGGCCCTTCCTCTAACCGAACACTGCTGCTTCTGATAATGGAGTCAGCTTCATGAAGGAGGGAAATCAGGCTAAGGCCAATGCTGCCACCCCCTCATCTAGGACGAGATCTCACCCTCCTGCATCCCCTAAAACATAAACCAAATAAGACAGGAGGTACTGCTTATAACAAGGTTTTAATAAAATAAAAAGTTCAAGTGCTTCCAATCTCCAACATACCCCATTAGGTGTGGGAGGTCCCCCACACCCCAGTAGCACCAGGGATAGCACCATGAGAAAAGAGGTTGCACCTGGCCTCCCTGAGACCACAAGGGGTGGGGATATGCCCCCCACCTCCCCGACCTCTTTCCAGACATCTGCAGAGCTAAGAGCAAATCCACTCCCTGCCATGGGACAGCTCTACCTCCTGAGGCCTGGGCTCCCGGGGAGATGCCATGGGTGGTCCCCACCCCTTTATGGCTTGGCTCCCTGGGGAGGAAGGGGTAGTGAGTGTTGGCTCCTGCAATCCTGAGATGGGGGTAGGGTAAATGGAATAGCCCGGGCTCCCTGCTGGGTTGGCTCAGGGGTCAGCAGTCACAAAAGACAAGGGACTCCATCCCTGGTGTCCTTAGCCAGCCCCCTTCCCAGCTGAGAGCTGTGCCCGAGTCAAGGGTCAGCTCTTTCCTAAAGGTCCCAGGACTCCTTGCAGGCAGGCAAGGTGGCTGCCACTGGTGCCTGGGGCTCCCTGCCCAGGCCATCACAGCTCATCACTGTTGATGTCCAGGTCAATGGAGCCATGGCTGACCACCAGACGCAGGCGCTTGTGAGGGGCAAAAGGAGCAAAAGCCAGGGCCTGCTTGGGGATAGGGACAGGGATGGTGTCAGGGTCAAGGGTCCCAGTGGCAGAGGCAGGGGCAGCTGGTGGGGCTGAGGCCAGGCGGTGAAGGCTGACCCGCACCACGCAGGGCAGCCCGTAGTGCCGGGCCCAGCGCCAGTCCTCCTGGGAAGCCCAGCACGAGCGAGGGGGCAGGCCCAAGGCCACTATGGCTTCAGCCTGCAGGAGACAGTGGGGGCCGCAGCCTCCCCACTGGTGCAGGGAGATGCGGGCGTTGCGAAGGATGGGGGACTCTGGGGCTGGGTGGGGCCGGGGGCGTCGGCGCTTCCGGGGGCGTGTCCGGGGCTGGGCCTGGGGCAGCCACTGGAGCCAGAGGGGCAAACTGTCCAGGTGGGAGCGTCCAGGTGGCAGGCAGAGGGGCTGGCAGGCCGCTGGGGTGGTACAGGAGAGGAAAAAGGGGGAGAGAAGAAAGGTCAGCTCAGTAGGGCCTGGACAGATCCCCCTTTGGAAGAGGCCAGCTCTGCACCATGCTCCTCAGAAGAGCAACTGGCCAAAGGCAGGCAGGGGAGGAATGTTGTACAGCTTTTGCTCACCACAGAAGGGGTCCCGGCGCAGCAGGGATAGGTGAGCACAGGCCTGGGGGCTGAGCTGGCTCTGCTGACCGCCATCCTGGCCTTGCTGCAGCCGCTGCTTAGTCTCCCGGAGCTCGTACTTGTCCGGGGGTTGTGGAGGCAGCCGAGGATCCTGGGGCCGCAGACGGAAGGCTCCTTCGCCCCTCCTGGGGAACAGGGTGCAGGCACACAAGGAACATGGAGAGGCTGGGATGGATACTCAGGGCCAGAGGGACTCCTGACCCTCAGGGTGGGCCGGCCCATCCAAACCCTGCCTGTCCTGGTTGCACCTACCTCTCGCAGGTATAGCATTCACAGTGCTCATTCTTCTCTCCAAAGAAACCCTCGCCGTAGAAGCACGTCACCTCATCCCCCGGCTCGATGTCCCGAAGCACCTTGACACAAGCTGCGTTCCCATCTGTGGGCACAAACTGGGGCCAAGCCCACTCAGCACCCTGGCCCGGGGCTCAGAACAGGCCGACTTGACCCCAGGCTCATCTAACAATTTAGGCCACAGCTTCACCATAGCACCAGTCAGGGGTAGCTGCTTTGCCCGGGGCCTGTCCCTCTCATGACCCACTGGCTCACCAGTGTCCTCCACCTTGCAGGACGGGCTAACCTGACCACCAGCAGCACAGAGGGATGGCAGCAACCATGCTCCCACTGCACTCTTCCCTGGCTTGGTAGCCTGTGGCCAAGCTCTCCCCTGTCTCTCCTGCCCTAGAGCCCATCACCTCCAGGGCAATAACTCCCCTTCTTTCCCCTCCCTCTCCCTCCCCTGAGGTCTGTGTCCTTTCTCCAGCTCAATGTGTGCACCTGTACATACATATGTTATTAGGGCTCGAACTGAGGGCCTGAGTGGTATTCTTGAGCTTTTTTGCCTAGCACTCTACCACTCTAAGCCACAGCTCTATTTCCGGTTTTCGGATGGTAAGCTAGAGATAAGTCTCATGAATTTCCCTTCCCAGGCTGGCTCTGTACCTCAAAATTCTCAGCCTCCTGAGTAACTGGGATGCCAGGCACAAGCCATTGGCCTGGCTTGGGCCCCTTTACTGACCAGAAACACCCTGCCCTGGGTTTCCACATACTCCCACCTCCCAGGCTGTAGGTCTCACCTTGCAGTTGGGTTTGCAATCTGGAGCCGGCCAGGTATGTGAGAGAGAAGAGAGACCAGTGAGCAAGGGAGAGGGCAGCCCGGTCCGCTCCCTGCCCAGCATCCCTCCCCACGGAGCTCACCATGGTTGATGAAGGCAGCTGGGCCGAGCCACAGCTGGGTGCTCCGTTTTCGGGTGGAGTACATAATGCTGAAGTCATTCTCACCAGCCCTCAGCAGCCCCTCATCTGCCTCCCGCAGCTCTGCCACACAGCCCACCAGCAGTTCCAGCTTCTCGTTCTTCTTCCTGTCAAGAGGCCAGGCTATGGGCTCCGGGTGTTCACCACTTCCCAGTCCTGGTGGAGACACAGGCCTTGCACCCAGGAGCCCGGGGGGGGGGGGAGAGGCAGGGGAGGCACCAAGGGGCCAGGTCTGACACTGTGTCCTCTGTCTCAAGTCTATCAGATCCCTGTGTCCTCCTACTCCCCACTCCAGGAGACCCCGCATCCCCTCTCCCGACAGCCCCTCCCATACCAAGCACGGGTGGACACAATCTTGGCTCCATTGGTCTCCATAGAGTAGCGGGTACAGGGCAAGATGGCAAAGCCGCTTTCTGGCAGGAAGGCGCGAAGGTAGCGGAACACCTGAGGGGTGAAGAATGGGGGGGGGGTGCTCTGAGGAGGTGGGCAGAGAGCCAGCAGTGAAGGGCCCTCTCTGGGGACAGGCCTGTTCTGCTACCAGCTATGTGATCCAGGGCCTCCTATCTCCTCTAGGGGCCTCAATGGCCTCATCCATCAAAGGGAGAGGATGAACCGCTTCTTAGAACCGCCCCCCCTCCCCAGGATTCTGGGAGCAGCCTTGGCTGTGGCAGGGACTGGGCAGTCAGGAGCCGAGAATGGTGGGCACAGGTCAGGGGGAAGGGCTCCCTCACATGGGTCTTGAGGGCGGCCTCCTGCCGTGGGCCCCGGCTCTGGAAGTAGTGGATCTTCCAGCCTCCCAGCGTCAGGGCCTGGTACGCAGCCTCCAGGTCACGCCGCCTCAGGAAAGCTTCTAGTGCCGCGCGAAGGTGGTGTTGGCGCCGCAGGGGGGGCATGGGGCTGGGGGATAGGGCAAGCTTGGGGACCAGGGCCTTCCCAGCCCAGCCCCACCTGGAGCAGCGGGATGGGCTGAGGGGCACGGGTGACAAGAGGAGGGGTCCCAGGCACGCCCTCTCCCTAGGCCGCCTCACCTGATGTTCATCTTATGGGTACAGAAGCCAAGGTAGGGGTCGAGGACCAGGCTGGTGGCCAGGTCGTCGTTCTCGCACAGTTCCCGGGCTGTTACTCTGTCAGGGCCCATGGTGCCCGGAAGACCATGCTGCCTCCGGCACAGAGCAGGAGCCTTGCCCTGTGCCACTCAGAGGCTGCCAGGGAGGCCGGCAGGCCCTGAGCTCTGCTCATCTGTAGCACAGAACCAGAGAACAAGGCTGACGTTCGGGGCTCCACGTGAGGATGATGCTGCAATAAGTATTTCAAACAGTAGAAACCCCACCAGAAAGGCAGCACGGTGAGGACTTGCCACGCCAGCCCCTTCTGTAGCCAGGCAGCTGCCGATTGAACACACACAACCTCCTAGATACACAGCCTCCTTGGGGGGGAGGAGAGGCTGGTACAGTAGGGCAGCACGTGTGGAGACAAGCCCCCAGGGACCCAGGGAAGGTGGGTTAATTGGCAGTCTGGATAACCCCAAAGGTTTAGCACTCACTGAGGAAATCAGGCTGCACTTCCTGCCTGTCTGGTTGCCCTCCTCCCATCCCCAGACACCCTAGGAAGTGCTCAGGAGCCTTGGGTGAAGCCCCAGGCAGCCTAGGGGAGGGTTATGGGGACTGGAGGAGGGATACAGCACCTGCTCCCTCTCCAAGGTGTGGGGGGGGGACTAAGGACAAAAGCTGGAGGGGGAACTGGAGAGACAGGACAGCTCGAAAGAAAAAAAAGAAATTAAGAAAAACAAAGCAAACCCTAACACTAGGGGAAAACCCTGACCCCAACCCAGTACATGAGCACCTCAGGCCCACCTGTGCCCTGGGAGAGGGGTAGATGGGGCCCGGCAAGGAGGGGGAGACATCAGAAGCTAGAGCCGCTGGAAGAAAGATCTGGAAGAGACAGGAAGGCTGGAGGCAAACCAAAGGACCGCCAAAGCACAGCAGGGGAGTTCGAGGAAACCTGGAGCCGTTTGTGGGTAAAGACAAAACAGAGCCGGGCAGAGTGCAATGGAGGGCTACAAAGAGAAGCCTGGGGCAGGGGTCAGGACGGCAGAGAGGGCTGGAGGCGGCCGAGAAAGCCAGGCCCGGGTGGGAGGATCCAGAACGGGGGGGGGGGACCCTGAGGGGTCTCAGGAGAGAACTTCGGGGAGAGCTCGGGGGTCCAGGGAGAAAAGCGATAGAGGCGACAGGAAAAGCCGGGGGCTGAAAGGCCCAGGAGGGGAAATGTGGGGGTGGAAGGGGGATCTTAGGATCTAGAAGGCTGGGGGGGTGGCGGGGGTAAGGTTAGGGCAGACCCTGAGGTACGGGAAAGGGAGGTCCGGGAGCTGAGAAGAGAAAGGCCTAGAGGTGAGGAGGAAAGCCTGGGGTTAGAGAAAATCCTGAGAACGTAGAGAGGGGCGGGGAGAAGGGGGAGGGGGTCCGGGGGCTTAAGAAGAATCGGGGGTAAATCCTGGGAACCGAGAGAGGGGCCCGGAAGGACCGCGGGGTGCGGGGGAAGAGGTCCGGGGGCTATGGGAAGGGGGGGTCAGGGAAAAGCCGGGAGTGCAGAGAAAGATCCCCGAGGTGCCGGGAGGTCGGAGTGTGTGGGGGGGGGTCGGAGCCGACCCTGGGGCGCAAGGAGACACCTGGTGAGAAGTGGGGGAAAGGCGCCGGGGATTCAAAAAGGAAGTACCGGAAAGGGGCCGTGAAACCGAGGAACCTGAGGGCCCTGAGACCTGGGCACCCCGGGCGCGAGGAAGGGTTGGGGGCAGCCGGGGCGGGGGGGGGAGGACGACCGGGACGCGCGGAGACCGAGATGGGACTCAGAGACCGACCCCGCGCCGCCCCTCACCCGCTTCTCCTCCTCCTCCTTCTCGGGCACCCACGCCGCCGACGCCGCCAGCACCACCCACTGCCTCCAGCTCTCGGCCAGACCGGGTCGCGCCGACTCTCCCCTCCACCACCCCCCCACGCCCAGCAAGCCTCGAGGTCCCGCGCCGCACGGCCGCCATAGCCTCCTATTGGCTAAGCCCGCTGCCACTCTTCGGTTGCCATGGAGCTCGCGCCGCGCCTATTGGCCTAGTCTTCCTTTTCCTCTCCCCCTCCCAACCCCCCGCCGTCAATGCTTCAACAAAACCTCGCCACACCGTGCTGCCAATTAGCCCAATGAACTATTGCCAGTGGCTCAGGCTGCCGTCAGTCACTTGTTACCATGGAAACTCGTCACGCCTCCTCCTATCCTGCACCCAATCATCGTTCTCATTGGCCAAAAGTGCCGTCGCTCCGAGAGATACTCGGGTCGGGTTATCCAGGTCCAAATGGAGAGAGGGCGGGCTTTGCCGGCCTAGAACTTATACGATTGGTAGATTTCAGGACGACTTATCCTTTCATTGGCTAAGGTCTCCGCTCGTCACCATAGAGTCTCGGCCTTCCTATTCCTTTTCAGCCACAGGAGGAAGAAATCCGGGATGGCTGGGAGGCGGGTAGAAGAATGAGCGCGCGCTTCTATCGCCTCCGCCCCCGGGAGACCTGGCGTTGCCAAGGCGACCGAACTTTATTGACAGCCCTGCCTGGCTACAGTGTTCTCTTTTCTTCCCCTCCTACTTCCAATTAGCTTGTTCCATTTTAGAAATGTGTGTCCACAAGTCCTGGCTACAGTGTTCTCTTTTCTTCCCCTCCTATTTCCAATTAGCTTGTTCCATTTTAGAAATGTGTATCCACAAGTTCTCAGGGGGATTCTCCTGGGAGATGAACTGCGGAGGCCGAGAAGTGAGTGAGAGCCTGGAGACCAGCTCTGACCCGGGGGGCGCCCCTCGGGGAGCCCCGTTTAAGGTGGATCACTGCCTGGCTCCCGGTCCTAGAGGCAGCACACGTTCACCCGCGGGGCCGGCTGTCTTTGTGTTTGTTTTCCACTTAGCTATGTTTTCCTGGGCCTCGCATGATGCGGGGCGGGGCGAGTTCTTTGTCCTGGATGGACGTCGGGGGGGGGGGGACCTGCCCAAGCCGCCCAGGCTGCCCCTTCCACCTGTCCACCGTGCCGGGGGCCCACGCCTGCGATTGCAGCTACCCAGGAGGCTGGGATCTAAGGATGGCGGTTCGAAATCCATCCAGGCAGTCCGTGACATTCTTATCTCCACTTTACCCCCCAAATACAGGAAGTAGAGCCGTGTGTGGCTCAAGTGGTATGAGCTCCAGCCTTGAGCTCAGGGACTAGTGCCCAGGCCAAGTTCAAGCTCCCAGTATCCGCACCTAAATAAGTACATATATATATCACTTTACATTTCCAGGTGAATGAGAGGAAATTAATTGATTAAGTGTGCTGCTTTGCAAGCAGTGTGTTTTTTCTGATCTACTGAAGTATTTCTCATATACTCAAAAGTATTCAGAAAAATCCCAGGGGTGCAGATCTGCAAGCTTTAGCTACTTTGGATCCCTTGTCTTTTTTTTTTTCTCTCTCTCACTTAAAGCTACATTTATAACTTTAAAAGTTATAAAAAGACTATATTTATGGTCTTAAACCTTATTTTAAAACACAAAGAAGAAGAAAGTGGTGATAATCATTGCCTAGTGCTAGTTGTTCTCGCCTGTAATCCTAGCTACTCAGGAGGCTGATTATGGCAGCTCACGATTCCAAGACCACGGGGACACAGTCACATACAACAAAGGGGTCTATTGCCTGCAGAGGCAATAGAGGGAGAAATGGCACCTGTTCTGGTTCAAGGGCACCCTAATACCGTTCTGGGACTGGGGGCGGGCACGTGGTATTCCTCAAGGCAGCTGGTCTCTGGAGATAGTGGGTTGGCAGGGTGGGGTTTTGGTCTGGGTGGAGAGCAGGAATGAGGAACGATCCTCAAGAACCCGCCCCCCCCCCAGAGAATTCTCCTTTCTTTGTGAAGGGGAGGGTGGAGTTCAGGTTTGGGTGGAGCCTGTTTCTCTGAAGCTGTGCAGCTGGGGGCTGGAGACTCAGGCAAAAGGCATAAGCAATGTTTTGTTGTTTGTTGTTTCTTTAGGGGTAAAATTCACTCCTGTAATCATTCCAGAGTGTACAGCAGTGTACGGTACCAGAATGAACAATTGTGCAACCATCCCTGCTGTGGACTTGGGAGACATTTTTACCATCCCCAAAGAAAACCTCACACCTGTTATGTAATCCCCTCCCTTCCCCTTCACCTGCTTCCCGTCTCCAAGATTCCTTCAGGGGAAATCTCGATTTTCTCGGGACCTGGGCTTTCAACACTACAGCATGAGCGCAGTTAAGAACATGGAGAAGGCAGGCTGGGAAGGTGGCTCGGTGGGAGAGCGCTTGCCTTGAATGCCTGAGGCACAGCCTGGGTTCTATTCCTCAGCACCATATAAGCAAAGAGGAAAAAAAAGCCAGAAGTGGCACTGTGGCTCAAGTGGTAGAGCTCTAGCCTTGAGCTGAAGAGCTGAGGGACAGCGCCCAGGCCCAGAAGTTCAGGCCCCACGACCGAACCCCTCCCCCACCAAAGAAAAAGAACATGGAGGAGAAAGAACAGGTGGAACTCTTGCCTTAGACAAGAACTGTTTATTTTGGTTGCAAAAGACAAGCAACCTTCCTGTGGCAATGGAGGTTGTGGGAAGAGGAGGAGTTGGGGTCAGGCTTATATTGGTCTTAATGAGGAAACAGGAAATAAAAAAAAAAACATGCTATGGTCTCCTGGGGGCCAAGGATACCTGCCTTTGGCCAGGCCCAGGAGGGAATGCTCCACTTAAGGTAAAGGAACTCTCAGCCAGCTCACCCACTGAATGACCTGCCTGAGGTCAAGCACCTGCTGTTTTGCTTGACCTGGGGAAATAAGGCAGGGTCAAGCCTTCAACCCCCGGGTTCTTCCTCCCTGCCTGCCTCTGCCCAATGTTTGAGCCCTCCCATCTTGCAGCCCACATCCCATGCTTTCTCTCTTTTAGCTTTCAGCACCCTCAATAAATTGCCGGCATTTCTAGCCCAGTTGGACGGACCGGCAGCCTCTTTCCAGGCTCATGATTGTCTCTGCCAAGCGAGTTTGGGGGGAGCCCCCTGTATGAGAATGGGTGCCTTGAGACAGGAAGAGGAGATACACAGTCCAAGACCACACAGACTGCAATTTAGCAGAGAGTACGGACCAAGAATGTTTTGGGAGCCGGGCGCTGGTGGCTCACGCCTGTAATCCTAGCTACTCAGGAGGCTGAGATCTGAGGATCACGGTTCAAAGCCAGCCCGGGCAGAAAAGGGCTGGCTTTGAATCTCCATCCTCAGATCTCAGCCTTCTGGGTAGTTAGGATGAGAGGTATGAGCCACCAGTGCCCTGCCAACTTCAACTTCTTCTTCTTCTCTTCCTTCCTCTTCTTCTTCTTTTCTTCTTCTCCTTCTCCTTCTTCTTCTTCTCCTTCTCCTTCTTCTTCTTCTTCTTCTTTACTTTTAAGCTACTAATGGGTCAAATTTCAGTTAAGAAACAGTCTGGGCACTGGATCAAGTTGTAGAGTCTCAATCTAGCAAGGAATCCAAACAAGCTCAAATTCCAGAAATGTCAGAATAAATAAATAAATAAATGTGAATGCTTGATCCAGACACTTGAGTCCCAGAAGGGGCCGGGCCAGGCCCCTGCCTCTCATCCTAGCTATGCTGAAGGCAGAGATCTGAGGAGCAAAGTTCAAAGCCAACCTGGGCAGCAAAGTCCAAGAGAGTCTTATCTCCAATGACCCATCAAAAAGTCAGAAGTAGAGGTGTGGCTGGAGTACTAGAATGCCAGCACATTTTGTCACCAGGGTCTCTGCCTAGGAAACTAGGTGTTACAGAAAAGAAAGACTGGGCTGGGATATAGCTCAGTGGCAAAGCGCTTGCCTAGCAAGTACGACGTCCTGGGTTCGATCCTCAGTACCAAAAAAAGAAAAGAAAGAAGTGGTGCTGTGGCTCAAGTGGTAGAGCGCTCGCCTTGAGCTGAAGAGCTGAGGGACAACACTCAGGCCCAGAGTTCAAGCCCCACAACCGACAAAAAAAAAAAAAAAGAACGTTTTGGGTGGCAGCAAACAGGGGATCCTAGCACCCAAAGGCAGGAGACAGGAGGGGGAGCCAGAAAGGGATGCTGAAAGAAGGGTGGGCAAATACAGTCATTCATTATATTCCATGTATATTATGTAAAAGTTAACGACCAAACCTGAGGGTGTGGAAAGGCTGGAAATGCCAGAAGGGATCAAGATGTATTGTACTCACTATGTGACTGGTGAACCAGACCTCTGTACTACGTGGATCTTGAACTCTGGGTCTGGGTGCTGTCCTTCAACTCATCAGCTCAGGGCAAGTGCTCTACCTCTTGAGCCACAGCGCCACTTCCAGTTTTCTGGTGGGTAATTGAAGGTAAGAGTCTGATGGACTTTCTTGCCCGGGCTGGCTTTGAATCTCCATCCTCAGATCTCAGCCTTCTGGGTAGTTAGGATGAGAGGTATGAGCCACCAGTGCCCTGCCAACTTCAACTTCTTCTTCTTCTCTTCTTCCTCTTCTTCTTCTTCTTCCTCTTCTTCTTCTTTTTCTTCTTCTTCTTCTTCTTCTTCTTCTTCTTCTTCTTCTTCTTCTTCTTCTTCTTCTTCTTC